AGCCCTCACTCTCTGGTGTACTTGGGTGACACTCCAGACCTGCAATCATAATTTTTTCAATCTTTTGCTTTTTTTTCTTTTCCTTTTCTTTACATTCTTTTTCTTTTTTCTTATTTCATTAAAAAAAATTTAACCTTGATTTTTTTTGTTTTTTCCACTTTCCCTGCCTTCTCCTCTATTTCATACACTCATTATCATTACTTTCACTTTTTTGAATTTTAACTTCATAGTTCATTCTACATTATTTTTGCCATTTTATTTTCTATGCTTATTGGTGGTATAGTAGTTATCTTTAATTGATTTTAGTTATATTTTAATATCTGTTTTTAATGGCAGTTTGTTTCCCACTTTCTGAATGGTAGTGGGGATTGAGCCCTCAAGAGAAGGTTGGGATGCTCCATCCTGTTCACCTAAGCACAAGACATGGGCAGGGTGCTGCTATCCTGCTCCTCCACTTCAGGTAGGAAGCCAGGTTCTGGATTTGCTGCATGAATTGCTACATTGCTTGTGACATCACAGAGTAGACAGTTGGCCTCTGGAATTCATTGAGAGCAGTAGCAGTGTATGTGCCCATGTTTTCAAATAGCAATCATTTCAGGCAAGTCACAGAGCCCAATGATCCTATCAAAACCATTACTTCTTGGTCCTCATATGCTAGATGGATAATACCTCTCTCCTGGTTTGGGTCTTTTCTGCAGGAGGGACTTTACATGTGCATGGTCATAAAGAATGCAATTAAATGATCCATATACTCCATCATTTATGGAATACATAAAAGGTTTATCCATTTGACTCATCTCCATCATCTGAGCTGCTCTGCTCTTTCGATACGATTTTTTGGCAATGATATTAGCTGCAAAGGTGAAAGCTGATGCAACATACTATCTGCCAGGCTTAGCCATGATTCTCACTCCAGAGTCTGACCAAAAGTACTGGGTTGATGTCTTCAAATTTAAGCTTCACACCATCACATTCAGGAAAGCTACCGCTAATATCAAGCAGAGGTATGCTGAAACCACTCCAGTCCCCATGTCAAAGACAGTGGGCACCAGAGATTGTCTCCATGAAGGTTTCAGGATTGGTATGGAAGCTGACACTAATAAAATCAATACTTAGCTGATGGCTAAGTATTAAGTAATACTAAGACTGATGGCTTTCAGTGTGGCACCAAATTTAACATCAATGCTACTGAACTGCTTTGGGATCACCAGTGGCAATCTGCAAAACCAACTTGGCTTTTGGATGAACTCTGGCAACTTTCATCAATTCTACTTCACTATCAAAAGTCCTCATCTAGACTCTATTACTGGCAGCATACTTAATTTGAAACATTCATTTACAAGGATTTGCATAGATAATCTTCTCTGGAGGCATCCAAGATTCTGCACCAACTGTATTTCAGTCTTGCTAGTACAGTCTAATCCTTCCGATTGTAAGTAGTGCGCTCACTATGACTCTATTATTTCATTTGGCTTCATATAAAGAGGTGACACAAAGAAGAGCTTTTAACCATCTTAGATGTTTCTTTGGACTGTCTTTGAGGTCTGTGACATAAAAGGCATCCTTGTCATGTGAGGAAACCCCATTCATATTTTGCCTTCATCAAGGATGTGGAGTCAAACTTTCCCTTACTAAAGTTGTTCATGGTTTCTTGACGTGCCTCTGAAATGCTACAAGATCCAAGTTGGATAAAGATCCTTACTTAAGAGTCTTAGCAATTATTCTTCATAAGATGATCCCCAGAACACCCAGGCATTGAAGGCTGGCCCCATAGAGATGCTGGTGCACTAGTTGGAGCTGGAGGACCAATTGGCCACCCATTGCCACCCATTGCCACCAGCTGCTTCACTCCCACCCACCAGAGAGGGCAGCCTGAGTGACACACAGCTCCTGGCTGAGGGTGGCTGTGGTGGCAGTAGGGACTCTTGGATTGGTCTTTGAGATAGGATCTCACCAACATTTTTGTCCAGACTGGCCTCAAACCATGATCCTCCCAAATATATGGAATCACAGACATGAGCCACCATGCCTAGCTTGTTCCTTCTTTCTTAAACAACAGCCTTTCAGGATAAAGTATACTGGGTTGTCAGTTATTTTCTTTTAGTATATTGAATATATCATCCAACTCTCTCTTGGACTGCAAAGTTCCTACTAAGAAATTTGCAGATAGTTTAAAGAAGGCTCCCAGTATATAACAAGTAACTTCTGTGTCTGTCCAAATTCTTTCTCTGGGGATTTTTGACAATTTAATCTTAGCATGTAGCAACCTCCTTTGAAGTCAATCTCCTTAAAAACCTTGCAGCTTTGTGATCTGGATACTCATTTCTCTTCCTAGATTTCTGAAAATTTTAGGCTTTATTATTTATTTTGTTTATTTCTGTACCTTTCTTACTTTCTTCTCCTTCCATAATTGCATATATTGGTTTGCTTTAAAGTGTCCCACATGTCTTGAAAGCATTTTCTTTTGTTCCTCTAATCAGATAAGTTCAAATGGCCTGTCACTGAGTTCACTAACTCTTTCTTCTGCTTGGTCAAGTGTGCTATTGAAACTTTTTGTTTAATTTTTCAGTTGAATCATTATATTCTTGAGATACAGAATTCGTTTAGCTCTTTATAGTTTTTTATTTCTTTATTGAGCTTCCCATTTTTTTCATATATTGTTTTCATTATATTTAGTTATTTATGTTTGTTTTCTTGTAACTCATTGAGCTTTTTAAAAATGATTATTTTGAATCCTTTGCCAATCAGTTCATTGATCTCCATATCCTTAGGGTCAGTTTATTAACTTTCTTTGGTATTTCTATATGTGCCTGATTCTTTATGATCTCATAGTCGTGCATTGGTTTCTGTGCATTTGAAGGAGAAATTATCTCTTTCAATGTCTGTAGACTGGTTTTGGTAGGAAAAGACCTTAACCAAACATTCCAATCAGAGATTATGGATTAGTCATCTGATGGTGTTTGTAGTCAAACCCATAGATTTCATGGGTGAGGCCAAGAAACCTCCGGGTGGGTAGGGATGGAGCTTTATCCATGAGAAGATGGAGCTAGAACCTAGTCCATGGAGAACTGGGGTTCCCTCTGGGTCTACAGGTGATCACAGCTAGAACTGAGTCAGAAGTAGGCAAGGACAGAGCTGGGTCTGCTAGCAGTCTGGCAGAGCCAACACTGAATGTGTTGGCAAGTGTGGCTGCCGCTAAGTCTACAGATGGATGGTTTCCTCAGGGTCTGTGGTCAATAGGCCTTACAACATGGGCATGAGTGGTATCTGCTAACACCCCAGGAAGATGACACTCCCTCTGGGAATGAAGTTGAGCAGGGTGGAACCAGATCTCAAACCTGACTTCACATGCAGTCAGGTCCTCTGTCAGTGGATATGTTAGCAGGGTCTTAGGCAGGCATTGTTTCTAGTGGGATCAATGGATGGGCAGGACTGATGGCAGGACCATGGACAAAGGCTAGACAAGAGGACAGGTCTTAATTCTTGATCTGCACCTGGGACTGTAATTGGCAGATCTGCCACTGGGGGTGCAGACCAGCCTTTTCAAAGCAGCTTTTCTTGGTCTTGGGCTCCATTAGGGTGTCCTGACCTCCTACCTGGGTTCCAAAGCTTTTTTTGTCTATGGAGAGTTGCCAAATAAGTGTTTCTGTCAGTGTTGCTGATATCAAGAAAAAAGTAAAACAGGGGAAGTGATAAACTTTTATATAAAATGGTCAAGGAAAACCAGAAGGTAACTGTTAAATAGAGACCTAAGGGAGTTGAAAACTAAATCATACATGCATCTGTATAGACAGTTTCTATAATTTCTTTGCTATTGATATACAAGTCTTATCCATACACCAATTACTTCAATATCTTTACAGAAGAATAAGCACCAAGCAGGGGGTTTTATTGTGAAAATCTGCTGATTTGAGTAGCACACTCTAGTCTGATCCTCTGACCCTAAACGCCTCCACAAACAGCAGGCAGGCCTCTGGGTTTTCATTAATCAAGAACTGTGCAAAAAAAAAAAAAAAAAGCAATGGCTGTTGATTCATTGGACTGACCTGGTCTAATACTAACTGGATGTGCATCCCATCATAATTAAAATGTATTGGAAATCTTAGGGCTAAAAAATGGGTTGTGACTTTGGTTTAGCACCAGGTCAGCTGTGTATTTTTGGAATCAGTCACTTGCTGTCTCTGGGCCTCTTTTTCCTCATTTATACAACAAAGGCAATAATATGACCCTGTCTGCCTATTGGAGTTGTTAGAAGCATAAAGGAGACAATGTGTGTGAATGTCATTTATAAGGTAAATACCTTATAGTGCACTCAGTAACTGTTTATATTCATTTTTGCTCCTCCACATCCATTGTCTACCCTTCTTTATCCTCCTATACCTTGGAAGATTAATCTGTATAGACTACATCATCAGGCTTCCCTGTCCTCTGGTTCAGTTCAGCAAATGAGGCCTCCTGGCAGATGGGAAAGAAGGAGAAAGAGTTTGGGGCATCCATTCCACCTGACTTCTTCTAGCTAGATCACCATGGACTGGCTACATCCCTCAACTCTGGCAGCTGTTTCTCTCCTGGTTCTATACACTACTCCCTCTCTTCAGTTCTTCAGGCCTAGGGATGATAGAGGTGCCCACACTTAATCACTTTGTGGTAGGCATTGTACTATCTATGATCCCCTCACCTCCGCCTATTTCTTGGTAAGTAGTCCCTTTTATTTGGCTCTCATCTGTTATCCAATTTGAATGCCCTGTGTTTCCTGCCAAGCATTTGACAACACAATAGTTATGCTATGGGCCTCACTTCTTGTATTCAGGATATTCCCTTGCTCTTATGTAGTGTTTTGGGAGAGGAAGAAGTGAATAATAAAAGGTGATATTGACCACTTCTCCCTCCATTCTACTTTGGAGTTTTGGCTGGTTCACAGGAAGTTGTAAAACTTGTGCCTTAAGAAATTAACCAGCTTTTCAATATGTGAGGATTTATTTCTCTGAGGCACAGCCTACCTTGCAGATCTCCTTCTGGGCTTTGGGGACCCAAGGGTTCACATCCCCAGAAGGCAGCAGCTTCTTCAGGCCCTGAATGGTTTGAGATTTGAGTGGTAAGCATGGACCATGCTCATTTAAATAGAGCTCGCAGATTCTATCACCGAGCATGTGACGAAAGATTGCATTCCCATTCTTCCTGGTGTTCATTAGTACACTGAGGAAATGGTGCAGGTCCTGCCAAAGACCCAGGAGCTGAGTCTCCACTTTCAAATTCTGCTTTTCAGGTGGTCCCGGAAGGGACTCCCTGCATAGGCATCAGCACACAAGGCCCAGTGGGTGTACTCAAAGGAGAGGCTTTGCTTCTTGGCTTTCTTGATGGTAATCTGGGAGGGGTGATTAATGATAGGTGTTGACGTCCTCAGGCGGGTGGAGAACTTTGTCTCAAAGAGGTCCTCCATGTGGAGGAAACTTTTGGATGTCTTTTCTATACTGGACTTCTTGGCACGGTGACTATCCTTTTCCGGAGAACAGACTATTTTCTCCTTCAAAGAGACCCCTTTCAGGGGTGGCATCTGTATAGCCACCTTCTCCTGAGGAGTCTTCTCCTGAAGGGGTAAAGTGTAGACATCTGACTTGGGGGCCATTTCCATAGACCAAGAGCCAGGACTGATGAACTGGCACATCTTCCTCTTGGTTCTCTTGCTTGAGTACCGCTTTGGGAAGTGGTTACAGTTTTTGATGCTCATGCTCAGAGGGACCCCTCCATCATGAGTATAGCAAACACTGCACAGGCGCGTCTCGTATTCCTGCATCAGAGCACGGCACGCTTCCTCGCAGGCCATTTCCATCTTGGCGTGGGTGTAGAAGTTGGGGAGCCAATAGCTCTGGAGTTTGAACAGAGCCACTTTCTGCATGTGGCTCAGGATCTCCCTTCTGGTGGTTGACTGGTTGGGATGCCAGATGGAGAGGTTCAGCAGGGACTCTGGAAAGAACATAAAGAGATGCAGAGTGAAAATGATAGGATGGTGATGATAATGATGATGGGAGGTTTTTCAATTTTTCCAAATGTCTTGGTGTATTCATTAATCTCTCGCAAAATCCTGGAATGCGAACTGGTAAAAACCACAAAGTGGACATGTTTTTAGGGTTTGCTCAGCTCACAGTGACCCTTTCTCTGATTACCTTCTTTCTTTCTCATGGAAATAAGGTATATTATGGGATTTTTTGAATGCTTTTTAGAGCACTGATGCTAAAAAGGAACCCAAAGGTACAAAAAAAGATGATTAAAAACAACAGATGGGATTCCTTAGGGTCAAAAATGACCAAAAGATGGTGAAAAAGAAAAAGAAAATCTTGAACAATACTTTTAAAATTTTAAAATAGGTAAACACGCTCTAGAGACTTTAAAATTTGGCATTAAATGAAGCTTTTCTAAAACTGAGGGTGACCATAGATTAAATGATGCACCGTACATTTATATCAAGAAAAGCAGTTTTTTAAAAGGATTTGGAAAGGTTTTACAAACAGAAGTGATAAACACTTGAAGAGATAGATGTGTTTGGGCTGGTGGAATGGCTCAAGTGGTAGAGCACCTGCCTAGCAAGCATTGAGGCCCTGAGTTCAAACCCCAGTGCCACCAAAAAAAAAAAAAAAGGTCTATTTAACCTAAACATTATACAATGTATACAAATATTAAAACATAATGCTACCCCATTTATATGTACAATTTTATGTTTTGTGTATTAGCTATAATACATTTAATTTAAAAATAGAAAATGACCAAAGGAAGGGGTATGAACTGGTTAATTTGAAGAAGTTAAATCCTTCAAATAGTAGTCAGTCTTTGCTAGCCTTGATTTTAATGTTATCAATTTTCAATTATCTATTTGCGTGGAGAGGAGTTTGGCAAATCTCAGTGTATCTTCTGGAACACATTGATACTGGGTTCAAAATGTCTCCTCATTTATCAAATAAATATGGATGAATCTATTTCTAAAGAAGGGGTGAGCAAATTTTTTATGTGAAGAGTCACATAGCAAATATTTAGGCTTTGTGAACCACAATTTCTGTTGCATAGTCTTTTTCTTTTTCTTAACCCTTTAAAAATTGAAAATATTCTTTGCTTATAGGGCACAAGTTCTGCATTTGTCCCATGGACTATAATTTGTTTTAGAGAATCCTAACTTTTTTTGATGGTACTTGGGATGGAAGTCAGGGCCTCACTCTTGTTATACATGCACTGTACCACTTGAGCCATGTCCATAGTCTAAGAGAAATCCAATTTTTTTTTTTTAATGAGAGGCTCAGAAGATACAGGAGCTTTTCAATTACCCTGTCCCAGTTTCTCTTCCCTCCTTCTAGCCAGTCTTCACTGGTAGGTAATATCTCAGGAAAAGACAAATACCAACCTATGGACAGCTGGTGTCTTTCAACCCTTCCTGTGTTAAGGGTTGGATTCCCATGAGCATCCCTGATATATAGCAGATGGACAGTTTGAAAAACTGTCAGAAGTGGGGTTGATGTTTTGGTTATATCACTGAAGGATTTTGCTTCAAATATGTCTCATAATTCTTACTTATGTTCATGTTGCAGAGAGTTATCACTCTTGAGCCCTCCTGCAGATGGGTGGCCTTCAGTATGAGGAGAAGGGACAGATAGTAGTCTCTCACTTCTATGTCCAGTTCATCTATGCTTAGGATCTTCTCAGCAAGGATCCAGAAATCCACCAACTCTTCACCTAAATATCAGACAGGACAGGCACAGAGCTGCACTGCACTCTAATTTGTTCCTTTCGTGGCTGCATCTAGGTGAAGCTACTGATACCACCCCCCCACCACCTGATTCCACTGCAGGAAACATCATCCTCATCAGTCACTCCTCAGGTTAAGACATCATCTCCAGAAAAGCCCTAATGTTGGGGATGATGGGAGGCCTGGGAGGAAGGGACTTAATAGATAAGGGTCCTTTGTGATGTTTTTTGTTATTGTTGCTGTTATAGAAAAACTCACTTTAGGGGAAACTATAAGACTCTGAATATGAATCATGAGATATTTGAGTTTTGTCTAAAAAATGAAGATTGGGGGAAACAATTCCTAGATCACGGACTCTGAACAGCCAGTAGTGTAAAGGGAGCAATGATGAGGTGACTCCATTTTGGCTGAGGGAGACACTTTAGAAGCAGACATGAAAAGGGACATGGGAAACAAATAGGTTTCTCAGAGAAATAATAAGCCTCTGACCAAAATAACAAAATGCAGCTGCAAGATGTGGGCCCCAAGGCCAGGACCTTCCCAGAGTGTTCTGTTCTACAAGGAAAGGGAGGGGCAAGTGGCCGGTTCAGTGAGAAGCTGACTCGGTGCCAACCAACCACAAATATAGTTTCAAGATAGAATAGTTGGACCTGAGCCGGGAAGAACCCTGTATCGCTCCTAGACTCCAGCTATACTATGGCTTAGCTCTTTTCACTAGGCCCTCCTGCGTACAGAGCTTTTGTTGTCCTTTCAATAAACTTTGTGCTCGCTTTATTCTTAACTCCTGGTCAGGGATCTTCAATCATCAACTACACCAGGACATGAACTCAGGATCAGTAAAAGCTCATTGTATCCCTAAGGTACCAAAGACCACATTCCCTATTTTACAACTTTGCTGAGGCCAAACTCTAAGTAGCAAACTGAAGGATATGGGCTAATTCTCCTTAATCTACCCCCCGAAGACCCAGAGCTTCACCATTAAAACTAGGGCCTGATCCTGAATATTGTGAGCTGGAGTGTGAGCCACTGCCAGCTGCTGGCTTCCCAGCACCCAGCTACTACTGGATCCAGAACAGGAGGCAGTGGTTCCCAATGCATTCACTGTAGGAATTACACTTCCTCTCTGTCTGTCCACCCACCATAGTGGCAGCATTTTGAGGCAGGGACTTAGGACTTTTCTTTATTTTTCTACCTCAACTTACCATCACAGTGGCTGCCATATAATGATGCTCAATAAATATTGTTAAACGAATGAATGAAAGGAACTCTGATTGCTTCTACCCTAACCTATACTATGGATTCCAGTTTCCAAGATTTTTACCCAACCGCATTATTAAACATTTCTTATATTTACCATAGCTGTCATCTGGGACTGTGGGGAACCTAGAAACTGTTAAGAACTTGCAATGGTGTCAGGGACAACTTGAAGAACCCACCTGCACTGCCCCTGAGGTAGGAACAGAAGCGCCACATTCCTCTGACCCCGCCAATGCATTTCTCGAGTAGCCACTGGTCTGCCATTTTCCATCTCATCATCTTGGCTGCCAAGAAAAGACCATGATGAGAGAGAGAATGAACTCTTTCCCTGTCCCTTGCACACAGCCAGACCCCTGTTAGCTCAGTGTGATGAGGAAAAATGGTGGCCAGTTAGATGAATGGGACTCTGGCTGTGTGGTGCTTTTGAAGGTAGGTATGGGGCCATCTGGTGACATGTGATAAGTGACATTCATGCATGAAAACCACAGCTAAAATCAAAGACTCGTCCCTGCTACAGTCCCTACCTGACAATGATTCCATCTATTGTATCTCTATTCTCTATTTTTTTTTTATGTCTGCTCTAATCTTTATTATTGCCTCCCTTCTGTAGCTTTGGGTTTACATTGTTCTTTTTCTTATTCCTTAAAGTATAAAGATAGGATGTTTATTTGATATCTTTCCTTTATAAAAACACTTATAGTGATTCATTTCTACCTTAGCAATGTTTTCTTTGCATGTCAGTTTCGATATGTTGTATTTTCATTTTCATTCACTTCTAAATATTTTAAAATTTCCCTTCTGATTTTTTCTTTGATCTATTAGTTGTTTAATATTGTTTAATTTCTACAATTTTGTGAATTTTATAGTTTTACTTTTGTTATTTATTCCTAATTTCATCCTGTTGTGGTCAGAGAAGATACTTTGTATAGTTTTTACATCTGTTCAAACTTAATTTGTGGCTTAACACACAGTATATGTTGGAAAATGTTCTATGTGCACTTGAGAAAAATGTATATGCTGTTGTATGCGGAACTGAAAGCTATCCACAGAAACCTTGGTTTATTGTGCTGATTCCTCTGTTTCCTTGAAAATTTTCTATCTTGTTATTCTCTTCATTATTAAGAGTAGGTATTGGAGTCTCCAACTATTATTGTGTATTTGCTTACTTCTCCATTCAATTCTATCAGTTTTTGCCTCAAATATTTTATTTTTTTATTACTCATATGTGCATACAATACTTGGGTCATTTCTCCCCTCTGCCCCAACACCCTCCCTTACCACCTACCTCACCCCCTCCCTCTCCCCCCCAACCCGTCGATACCTGGCAGAAACTATTTTGCCCTTATGTCTAATTTTGTTGGAGAGAGAGTATAAGCAATAAGAGGAAGGAACAAGGGTATTTGCTAGTTGAGATAAGGATAGCTATACAGGGAGTTGACTCACATTAATTTCCTGTGCGTGTGTGTTACCTTCTAGGTTAATTCTTTTTGATCTAACCTTTTGTCTAGTTCCTGGTCCCCTTCTCCTATTGGCCTCAGTTGCTTTTAAGGTATCTGCTTTAGTTTCTCTGCATTGAGGGCAACAAATGCTAGCTAATTTTTTAGGTGTCTTACCTATCCTCACACCTCCTTTGTGTGCTCTCGCTTTTATCTTGTGATCAAAGTCCAATCCCCTTGTTGTGTTTGCCCTTGATCTAATGTCCACATATGAGGGAGAACATACGATTTTTGGTCTTTTGGGCCAGGCTAACCTCACTCAGAATGATGTTCTCCAATTCCATCCATTTACCAGCGAATGATAACATTTCGTTCTTCTTCATGGCTGCATAAAATTCCATTGTGTATAATACCACATTTTCTTAATCCATTGTCAGTAGTGGGGCATCTTGGCTGTTTCCATAACTTGGCTATTGTGAATAGTGTGCAATAAACATGGGTGTGCAGGTGCCTCTGGAGTAACCTGTGTCACAGTCTTTTGGGTATATCCCCAAGAGTGGTATTGCTGGATCATATGGTAGATCAATGTTTAGCTTTTTAAGTAGCCTCCAAATTTTTTTCCAGAGTGGTTGTACTAGTTTACATTCCCACCAACAGTGTAAGAGGGTTCCTTTTTCCCCGCATCCTCGCCAACACCTGTTGTTGGTGTTGCTAATGATGGCTATTCTAACAGGGGTGAGGTGGAATCTTAGTGTGGTTTTAATTTGCATTTCCTTTATTGCTAGAGATGGTGAGCATTTTTTCATGTGTTTTTTGGCCATTTGAATTTCTTCTTTTGAGAAAGTTCTGTTTAGTTCACTTGCCCATTTCTTTATTGGTTCATTAGTTTTGGGAGAATTTAGTTTTTTAAGTTCCCTGTATATTCTGGTTATCAGTCCTTTGTCTGATGTGTAGCTGGCAAATATTTTCTCCTACTCTGTGGGTCTTCTCTTCAGTTTAGAGACCATTTCTTTTGTTGAGCAGAAGCTTTTTAGTTTTATGAAGTCCCATTTATCTATGCTATCTCTTAGTTGCTGTGCTGCTGGGGTTCCATTGAAAAAGTTCTTACCTATACCTACTAATTCCGGAGTATTTCCTACTCTTTCCTGTATCAACTTTAGAGTTTGTGGTCTGATATTAAGATCCTTGATCCATTTTGAGTTAATATTGGTATAGGGTGATATACATGGATCTAGTTTCAGTTTTTTGCAGACTGCTAACCAGTTTTCCCAGCAGTTTTTGTTGAAGAGGCTGCCTTTTCTCCATTTTTAGCGCCTTTGTCAAAGACAAGTTGGTTATAGTTGTGTGGCTTCATATTTGGGTCCTTTATTCTGTTCCACTGGTCTTCATGTCTGTTTTTATGCCAGTACCATGCTGTTTTATTGTTATTGCTTTGTAATATAGTTTAAAGTCAGGTATTGTGATGCCTCCAGCATTGTTCTTTTGACTGAGTATTGCCTTGGCTATTCGTGGCCTCTTGTGTTTCCATATAAATTTCACTGTAGATTTTTCAATCTCTTTAATGAATGTCATTGGAATTTTGATGGGAATTGCATTAAACATGTAGATTACTTTTGGGAGTATAGACATTTTTACTATGTTGATTCTATCAATCCATGAGCATGGGAGATCTCTCCACTTTCTATAGTCTTCCTCAATCTCTTTCTTCAGAAGTGTATAGTTTTCCTTGTAGAGGTCTTTCACATCTTTTGTTAGGTTTACACCTAGGTATTTGATTTTTTTTGAGGCTATTGTAAATGGAATTGTTTTCATATATTCTTTTTCAGTTTGTTCATTATTAGTGTATAGAAATGCTAATGATTTTTCTATGTTGATTTTATATCCTGCTACCTTGCTGTAGCTATTGATGTCTAAGAGCTTCTGAGTAGAGTTTTTTGGGTCTTTAAGGTATAGGATCATGTCGTCTGCAAATAGGGATATTTTGACAGTTTCTTTACCTATTTGTATTCCTTTTATTCCTTCTTCTTGCCTAATTGCTCTGGCTAGGAATTCCAGTACTATGTTGAATAGGAGTGGAGATAGTGGGCATCCTTGTCTGGTTCCTGATTTTAGAGGGAATGGTTTCAGTTTTTCTCCGTTAAGTATAATGCTGGCTGTAGGTTTGTCATATATAGCTTTTATAATGTTGAGGTACTTTCCTTCTATTCCTAGTTTTCTTAGAGCTTTTATCATGAAATGGTGTTGGATCTTATCAAAGGCTTTTTCTGCATCTATTGAGATGATCAAGTGGTTTT